GTTATTAGTGTGTGCGGTATCTTGGAAATTTGTTGTTTCATTGTCGCGTTTCTTCTCGCCGCTGATGCTAGCACAGCTTCTTCAATCACACAGTGTCGGTCGTGTGTATATTTTTACAGAACTGGTATCTTATCAACATTTGCTATTTTGATCAGCTGTTGTTTCACTGTCGTGTTTCTTTTCACCATAGGCGGATCCCAGGAGGAGGAGACGGGGAAGAGGTGGGGACGGGAGGAGAAAGACTGCAGATCACTAACAGCAAAATGGTTCCTACGCTGCAGTTTAACACTTAAACTCGTTTTGGCTGTGTTTTGACCTCTTCCCGTATGTAGAAGAAATGACGTCGGCTGGGATGAAGGTGTTGCATCATGGGCCCTCTCTAGCGGCACAAGTAGAAGTGTTAAAACTGTAGAAAACTCTTTTCCGAACCTCCGATCGCCCCGCCTCGCGGGGACCTTACTTTCCCTTCCCCGCCTGAGTCGCCCCCTCCTTTCTCCTCCCCGCCTGAGTCGACCCCTGCTTCTCGTCATCGATTCTGTTGGTAATTTCTCCATTTTCCTCGATAATGTGTTTGTCGCACCCACGCTTGCTTCGTATAGGTGCTCAACTTGGCCTGTTTGCTTTAATTGTATGATGTTAGGGAATTGATACTGTGCCAGTGTTTTGCAGGACCTTAGCGGTACTTAAATATGCTGCCATAAAATAGGCCCAGTCCGCGAGTATGCACTTGGAATACTTGGATCAGTTTTAATATCGTTTTACTCCAGTTCTGTAGTTTACAACTTTTCCAGTTGCTTTGACCAGTGCTGCATCGTCCGGTGGTCAGCCTTTTGGCAGACCCCTGAACTTCGTTTATTTTTTCATGCCTTGAGTTATTTAATATTGTGAGCATTTTATCGCAAAATTGCTATTTCCTCTCTTTTTCTTAGTTGCTACTCAGTGAAAAAAAAAATGTTTCCTTAAAAAAAAAAAAAAGGAAAAGTGAGGATCTTAAGAAAAAAGCGATTGTCTAGTTTATGGATGGTATTCATAAGCCGGTATCTTCCTGAGAGCCAGTAGTAGCCGTTTTGATGCATCCTTGTGATATCTTCCACTGTCACTTTGAAATATTTCCAATGAATGCCGTTTATTCGCCTCACTTTACTTAGCCTCCTATCCCTTCCATCAGTCTGATTTTTCAGTTTTTTCTGGCTCCCTTTCACTTTCTCGAATTCTCCCCTCCCACCCCGGCCCCTCATCTTTCCTCTTGAAACTTTCCTCAGGCAACAAACTTTCCTTAGAACTTTGCTACACAGCAAATCGATGTACGTCGATGAATAGCTCTGGTCCATAAATATTTCTCCATCTATGTAAGTGTTGTAGGAATTTTAAAGATACAAATAATGAATATTATTGGCAAGGAGACTGAAAGAGAACGGGAGCCTGAAATACATAACTTTTCCAGTGGACTGACCAATACCACATGGCCTTGTGATCATCCTGCTGGCGTTCCAAGCGTTCGTTTCTTCTGCTGAAGATAGCTCAACAATTCTGTCGTCAGAGGCAATCGATAGGGCAATAGGTACTTCGAGAAATCTTTGGTATGTGTTGGTTATCACCATCTCGTCGCGAAATGGCCACTCCTGTACCGCAGTTTGGATCTTATCGGCTAAGTATATTGCTAGGATTTGCGATCATGAACGCGGAAATGATATTTTGTAAATATTTTTTACAGTAAACATGCGTCGATTTCCTTTTCTTGAAAAATTTTTAGATTCAAGAATGCGCCGGAAATTCGAGAGTATTTAACAGTTAAGACAGGAGAGCAATTACGCAGAACCATAATTTGTTGACTTGCAAAATCATGATTTGCAATTAGCTGGCAGTGTTTCAGTGGAAGAAACAACGCTAATTTGCAGTAAAAAGTGTAGGTAACATGGCACTGGAGAAACCTTGGCACCATGCACAACTTCACTTTTATTTGATTTTTTTATTCCAGTTTCATCGTTTTGTATTTGAAGTCAAGAAAGATCATTATGTTTTCGTCGACTTTTGTAAATATCAAAAGGCAAGATAAAAATCCTACTGTATTCACTGTTTTTCACAAGCCAAGGCGCTTTTACTGCGCATAGATTGGGAGTCATTGTAGTAATTTCTAAAAATTGTGGTGGCCGGTCTCAATTCTTTTAGCTAGAAGCATTTACCGGAAAAAAACATTGGTTGAATGTCCAGATGCAGTCTCCTGCTTGCCATACTAGCAGTGGCTCCCACTTTCGAGGGTTTCTTAGAAGCAGATTAATGGCGTGTCTGATTGACATACGTCAGAGCCAATTATCCACGGGAAAGAATGGATGAATCGTGGAGGGATTGGTTACTTTGTAGATGTACTATTTTTTAATCACTGTGATCACCCCGAGCTCCTCCCGTGGTACCAATCGACTTCCACGGCTATTTAGTTCACACGTACGGACACATGGAATTTGACACTGGTAGCTCTTGATATCACGAACAACGATGTTTCGCACATAGACGCAGTAAACCTCAGTCAGCAAAATTGCCGTCATTCACCCTTACAGTGACTGTGCATGCGAATAGTAACTTGAAATTTCACAGGGTCTGCAATGCGTCTCCACTTTAACCCCACAAGTAAAAACACCAACAAAAACGATCCCAACATGATATTAAACTGTAAAGCAACAAACATTCACACTGGTAACGATTGGGTTACTTCACGTGACCAAACGAAAATGCACATCAGTAACACTGCTCTACACGCCGCTAATTATTCGTTAAATATTTGATAAAAACATAGAAACAGCAAGAAACGTCACAACCAATGTCAAAGGATAAGGTGTTATGATGCTGTCTTTTAAAGTCATCTGTATAGAACAAATTAAGTTTTATGGAAATTTAAGAGATATAAACAAATAGCGAATATCCATTGCCAGGAGAATGGAGGAGGACGGAGGGTTTAAAATCGCCTGTGCATTAAAATATGCAGTTGGATTAAGACCAACTGCATATGTTAATGCATGGACGATCAGACTGGCGAGGAGGGAGAGGATTAGCACTAAAGTGTAAAAACTGTATCTTCGAAAATGCCAAACACATTTTTTGATAAAAAAGACAGCGCAGTTAAAGGGAGGACCGTTCAATTTGAGCGAAACATTTTGTTACGCATCTAAAATGAACAGAGAAATGACGGTTTTGGAATGTGCATTTTTGCTCCGGTGTTTGCTCACTCCAGTTACTTGCATAAGCGACACAAAGCTTGAAATGTATACGTTCGTTAGAAATCAAAGTTGCTAATCACATTTTCCGGAAAGGCATTGGATTTTGATGAATTTGTTGGCAATCGTTGGACGTTGCGCATTAGTGAGTGGCAATTTCAGGAATATAAGTGGCCATTAAGACGATTTCCGCAGAGGTTGCGTACATGCATCGGATAGACGGTGAATATCAATGGAGGTTTGCAACTAGGGACCAAAAGACTTGCGGTAGCTGCATCCGGCATGTGGGAGCATAAAAGTGATACAGCTGAGATGGATTTCGTTAATCTTGGCAGTTGAAGCACTCATTCAAGACTGCTCGAAAAAGCAGCATCTGATAACCTTTACAAGGCAGAATTTGTATGGTTTTTTCCGTTGTGGGTTTTCTGGTGGCGGACAAGGCTACTTTGGCTACTCATCGCTTTGTCGCAAAACTGGCACTTGTGCGGCTTCTCGCTAGTATGAATTCGCATGTGCATTTGCATGTGTGTTTTCTGCCGGAAGCTCGAATTGCAGTGATCGCATTTGAAAGGCTTTTCACCAGTATGAATTCGCATGTGTGCTTGTATATGTTCTTTCCGGCTGAAGCTCGAACTGCAGTGATCGCATTTGAACGGTTTTTCACCAGTATGAGTACGCATGTGTCTTCTCAAGTATGTTTTTCGGCCGAAGCTCGAATTGCAGTGAACGCATTTGAACGGTTTCTCACCAGTATGAACTTTACAATGCGCCCGCAAATTCTCCAATTTTCCAAACCTCTTATAGCATTGTATGCACTTGTACGGTTTCTCGCCAGTGTGTTTCCTTAAGTGAATCTTCAGCGGTGAAGGAGCAGAAAAGTTTTTCCCGCAGTAACTACATGCAAGTGAGCATCGTTTACTGCATGTTTTGTAGTGACCAGCCCCTTCAGTGTTGTTGCTTGTAGAAGTCGAATTTGCACACTGCCCTCTCAGATCTGCCCGTTGGCCATCTGTGAAATTGGATTTGTTTTCGTACGTTTGATTCATCGACTGAACCGGGCAGAAAAACTGCAAAACAGTAAAATTTAACAGCGCAATCACTGAAAAGTCATCCCTCATTTTTTACGCGAAAAAGGGTTCGCAATAATGTCGTAAGATGGAAAAGATTATGAAATTTGCTTAAAATGAAAAAGCTGTTTTTCATATTTTCTGGCATGCAATCTGTATTATCGCTGTTGTTAACATTATTATTGTTGTTGCTATTATTATTGCTATTTTTATAACTGTAATTTTAAATACCAAATTCTTTCTTACCTTAGTGATAACAAAATTTAGAGGAAACAATGGTTTTGTCAGTTTAGAGATGCTGACCGGTATAAAAGTGTAACTTGAATAATCCAGGAAATTTGTAAAATAATTTCCCCGGCCTGGTATTTGGAAATACGATTGCCTTAGCGAACAGGTAGCATTTTTGATATTTTTTTTAT